AGAATTAAATAGCTGCTTGCTTCTTCTTTAATACCATTTCTTTGTTATTTTGGGCAAGGAAGATACCACCACAATAGAAAACTGTGAATGAAGCCAATTAAATATTCAAGTGTAAGAACAAAACCACTAGTTGGAGCATTATACTAGTGACTATTCAAAGGCAATATTTCAAATTTCATCTAGACAACAGCACTATAATACCCAGCTATGACACCTTTTAGCCTTGGACAGCAACAGAACATATTTAAATACTTTCCAACACAAAAAGGTAGTTCTCAATAGCTTTCCTCTAAATAAGAGACATATACCACAGAAAACCTGCTATGAAAAAGTATCTTATCACTTCATACATAAGCTATAAAGTAGGGGAAAAAAATCCATATATGTAGGCCTATGTTGATTGAAAAACAAGGATAGGAAGAAAGCTCCCATATTCTGGAACACAAAAACAGTAACAGACCTTTCAACAAAAGCTAATTATGCTGTTAGCAATGTTCATATCACTATATTCTCTCAGATCTGAAAAAAAAAAAATGGACAGACTTACTAGGTTTTTACAAGGCATTAAGCCCCCCCCCAACACACGCAGACACACATAGACTGTCTCTTTAGACTGTCTCTTCCCCTCTACCCGCTAATCAGTTCTTAACCAGAAAAACTGGGGAGGAAAACCACAGGTATGAAAGTAAAAAAAAAAAAAAAAAAAAGGAGAAACCCAGATAAAATTAAAACACTAGTAGCAAATTAAAAAAAAAAAAAGCTCAGGTCAGTCCTACCCTCTAAAATTAACTAGCTTTTGTATAGTAATGTCATCTCTGGGAAAAAAAAGAAAAAAAAGAAAAAAATTGCTTTACAATTCGAGTTAGAGCAGGGTCTGCTGTCAACGACATGCCATGGGTCATGTACTCTGCAGTACCATTCTGTGCTCAACATTCTGTGGGAAAGAATTGTCTACTCAAGTTGTAAGTCTGACGATCAACATGTAGAATCAAGAGTTGACTTAATTTTTTTATCAGACAAAACCTCAGAAGGCAAATCTCACTTGGAAATACACTGTAAGACTTATACAGCAGTAGAAAGCTGCAGTACACAAAGGGTTTTAAAAACAAATTACACAGAAAAGTAATTATACAGGAAATCCCTGAAGACAAAAAAAAATGGGGGGAGAAAAGGGGAAAGAAAAGAAAAAGTAGTCTCTTACTGTGGTAAAAATGTTAACTTAATGAATGAAAGAATTAAAGGTTAAAATATTTTGATACTGTCTTCCTCCTCTTGGGTTGCTTCCTGCTCAATTTGTCATCAGACTTGTCTCCTCTTTCCTGAGCAACAGCACAGACACATTTTTTCTGTTTGTACTCTTACCAGAGTGCCTATAATGTGCACCCTACAACTGGTAGAGCACACCCTTTTAAGGATTCTTTAAGTACATTAATATACATATTTACATATATTTTTTTAAATATTTCTTTTTAAGCCTTGTACTACCCTTATTTTCACAGATACATTTTTCCTATATGACAGAAAACAGGTAATTTCTTCAAACCTAATCCCTAAGGGATTAACTAGAGCTCACTGCAGCCTTCCCTCAAGAGAAACTATGAGGGACCAAAGAGTTAAAATTATGAAGACATTTTTATAGCTTTGCTAAAAAGATCTCAAAACTATAGCCTCAAACTATCTTTTCAGCATTTCAGAAGACAGGCACAGGCTCTAATAATATATCACCAGTGAATACTGGCCACATACTCATGAAATGAACAGGTAAATCAGACAGAGACATACGATGCAGCAAGTATCAAAGCTTTAGAGACAAGGGACCTTATCTCTAATGGCTACTTCTAAAGCAAGGGGAGATTCTGCTAAATTCATACTTTCCTTGCAGTCTCAAGACTGCAAACTCAACTACTATGTTGCTTTCCACTATTTTTTTGACTACTTAAAGAGAAGAAAACTACAGAAATAAAAGCACAAAGTTAGCAAAGAGGTACAAGAAGAATCTGGAATGTTGACCTGACAATCTAAAACTTCATTCTCATTTCGAGCATATGCTTATTCCTCAATAGTTTAGGATTCAGAAAAAGCACAAAGTTTCTGTTAATCCTGTAAGTAACAGTAATCATATACTTGGAGATATCTAAAAAAATCCTGGAAAACAAAAATCTCATGTCTCAATGTTGATTTTGCACCACATCTTAATCTTCAACTTCAGTGAATAAACTAAAATCAAATCAGTTAACACAGAGTTTTTTCCCTTAAAGAACAGTACATATTACTTTAAAAAAGAAAAAAGTGTAACTTCAGTTTGCAGGAAAAAAATATTTGAATAACTAGTAGGTTTTTTCCTCTTACCATATCCTGCCATAGAGGCTCCACCGCCACCATTCATTAGATTTTTATTTTCTTCTGCCAGTGCTTTGACATATCTTTTACTGAGATCTAGTATCTGTCCACGCAACTCGGCACTGCTTTGGCGTCTTGGATACTGAAAAGTGTAACGCAGCAACATCAAACCCCAAATGATTCCAAAAACTAATAAAAACATACTCAGTTTCTGGGACATATTTTTTCTTGAAAATGTTAGAAACATTTCTGATGAAGGCCACAGGTGCGTCTTAATTTCAAGAGAAGTAATTGAACTTGGCTTTGTCAAATTATATTACATATTAAACAAACATTTCTATGAAGTGAAAAATCTTCTGGCTGGATCATCTTGAATACATCTTCTCATGTTTTAGTTGGTCTTGATTCCTGAAATTTGTAAAATATCACTTGGTTATTCAAAACAGCTATAGTTGTTGAGATTAGGACAAGTATCAGTTTCCAAATGCAGTATTATTGCATAATCTCACAAATGGTTGTGGATTTGTATCTGCTTAGAGGTGCAGTCATTGTATTTCACTTGTTGTTTCCAAGGTTTGCTTTTCTTACTTTTACCAATTTTTATTCTCCAAAAGTCAAAACTACTGTGCTTCTACAAATCACCTTAAGTATTTTAAACACCGTAACTTGAACTGACATTAAAGCCAAATGCATTTCAAACAAAATGCAATATCTAGAAGAGACTTGTAAAACACTTATACACAACATTTTGATGAGATATACACGTACATCTACACACAAGGAAAAGATCTTGTGAAATTATTCACTTGATTCTTATTCCTCACTTAGAAACATAGGGCAAGTATAAACAGATAAAATGCAGAACAAAGTTTCTTGCTTAGTTGGTTAGTTCAAAGTTGGGCATCATCCTCTTCTGGTTTTGTGCAACATTAAGATTTTTGTGTGTGTCTGTGTGAATTGCGAATAAATAAAGAAATAAAACCAAAATGAACTGGCACATTGCACCTACTTTTAGCATTTTTCTACCACCTTAAAAAAGTCTTACCATAGCAGTCGATTCTCATCCCTCAACAGATTAAGACTTCAGGAGAAAAACAAATGGTAGGAAAGCTTCAGCAGTTAAACAGCGAATGTCCAGACAGTTTGAAGCAATATGAGCCAGACATCTTCAGGGAGCTCTGTATTGGGGGGGAAAAAAAAATTAAACTAAGCGCAGGACTAAAGAAACCTTTCGTTTTCACAGGGACTGATTGAAGACGAGGGCTTCAAGCCACATGCTTTTAAAGCAGAAATAATTTTTTAAACCTAACCTGAAGCAATTGTTAGGGAAGAACATAGAATCCATTTCCATTTTGTTATAAATGCATACATTTGAATGCCCAATAACTGATTTCAACATACTTCAAAAAATCTTGGTAAAAATCTCACTGAAACGTGTCCCTCTTCTTGTGTTATAAGACAGTAACAGCAGGTGTTCCAGATTAATCATATATGTATCGAAACGTATATTTACATATGTATTACTTTTATTAATTCCCCCCCCTCGAATGAATCTGATCTTTTTCGTCTCTTTACATGTGTATACCCCATATTTCTAATTTTTCAGCCACCTCTGAAACTTCTCCAATTATTCAATAATTTTTTAAGAGGGAGTTTCTATTATTTAACATAGCCTGCATAAAGCTACTCATTTTACATAACAGTTATGTTTTCCCTGTTATTCCCCATTCTACCCCACGTTACCTGACATAGGCGCTTTTCAGACTGAAGTTACACATTTTACTAGAGTTCCCCACTGGACTTTCTATAGTGGTACTTAGGTCTGGTTTTATTAGAACATTGAGACCGAATTTCTTATCCTGCTAAGCACTCATCTACACTTAACTCCACCTCCATGGTATTTTTCATTGCCTCTATTGACCTGTCCAACTAGCCTTACGCCAACACACCACAGGCTGCTGCAAACACAAGTGTCACCACCGGCAGGGTTTCGAGTTGTGCTTGTCGCTTACCCTTTACCTTCATCCTTGAGATAATCCTCTCAATGGGCAGGCCAACATGACTGACTCAAGTAGCAAATTTCCAAAGTGCTCTAAACTCAACGTGTATATCTAAATTATTCTGAAAATTATCATCCTAAGGCTGGACACCGAAGTTGCTGTAAAGTAACAAGTTATTGTGTGTAAAATGCCCTATAGTAACAGCCAGTAAATAAAATCTTACTTTTACTGTTGGGCATACTAATGTAAGTGGCAATCACAAGCCAATGAATGAGGAATAGCTTAGTTCACCTTTAATGTGGGATACGACCGTGCACGTGGACAGCTAGCCAACATGCAATAATTTGAAATCCCACTATAAATTCAGTGGGATGTTCTTTGTTCAAAGAATGTGCTTATATCCAAAAAAATATTTTTAAGACACAAGTTTGTCTTAAGTACATAAAAGAAGAGAGAAAACAATAAAGACTTATATTCTACAGTATCAGCACGAATATTTGGAATTGTGTGGTTAGAGATTTCCTGAAACAGATCCTCCCTAAACATGAGCTAGCCAAAACTTCTTTTCCCTAGCTCTTTGCCAAATCCATGGCTCTGCACTCAGACTTTAAAGCATAAACTGCACCTACATCATTATGCATCTACATAATCCCGGAATAGTATCAAATATGATGGAAAACATTTACGTATGAGGTCCAGGAATACAGTATTCACAGAAGACCAAACAGTATCTCTCAAGGAGAGACCACAAGTTTCAACCCCCATTCCCAAAAGCCTGTGTTTTATATTACTAAAAAAATAATTGTCTGAAAATAACAGATAGCTCTTGTAGAATTTAAATTAAGTTCAGCTCTCCACAGACCTCCAGCCATATCTCATCCTGAAACATTTAGACAATATCACTACAGAGCTTTGGAGTGGAAATAACTCTGCCATCACACTGTAAATAAGACCACAAGCCAGGATAAGAGTCCTAGCCAAGAGGAACAGATTGAATAAACTCCCGCCAAGGAGCAGTAGGAATTGCAGACTATATCTTTGCCATGTATATTTGATTCACAGTGCTCACGCTGACTACTGAAACTAATGGAAATCAAGGACTTAACCTGCTGAGCAAATGACATAACATCCAAATACTGTCACTAGGCAAAGGAACTGGGAGTAAGGTGTACTAAAATGTAGGGAACTATTTGTACTTGTCACTTTTCCTATGTATTTTTAGAGGCCATTCCACCTTAATGAATTCCAGTGTAATTTCAAAGTTCTGGAGATTTGGTCTCCTCTTTCTTCCTGAAGCATGCACTTCTAGTGACCCAGAACACACTCTTTTATTTTATTCTGAAAATGACAAGCCCAAGCCAGGGGCAACATTAGAACTTGCAAGCAATTCCTGAACAGAGGATCTGAGACTAGGTTTGCCTTTCACAGAGTTTGGTTGTCTTCACTGTTGCCACTGCTGGCTGTCTAAGAAATGCATAGCCAAAGCCTGCCAATGTGGATTTAACAATGTCCAGTGATACCACAACAAACACTGACATACATCTGGCAATGAAAGCAATGAACTAAGACACTCATCCTGCCCAAAATAAAATCATGTCCCTATCCTCTCAGCTATGTTCCAACATCAGTCATATATAAACTGTATTATTGAGTGCATGAAATGAAAGGAACGAGGGCCAAAGAAAATGCAACAGAAAATCCATTATATGTTCTGTAATAAAGCAAAGTTCTAGTATCTCTGATGCTACTTAACTAAACAGTAGCATTTGACTTCAGTTTGAATACTGACCCTTCTCCATGGAAACCAGCCCATACTTACAAAACATCATACTTGAATTTTGTTGCAAAGTCTTCCTCCGATTCTGCTTTACTTATTCTCAGCAAAACACAAAGACTATATTCACGTACAACGCAAAAAATACAACAGTCTCTAAGGCAAAGGAATGTCTCATACATCCTCTGAAACAATCCCCAGGTATCATGAAAACAAGGCATACCCAAATCCTTAAAAGGTTGCAACACACCTGACAGCACTCTCAGTTCTGCTAGTCAGTCAATTCATGAAAGACCAGCACATACTCGTCATCATTTCTCTAGTCTGTCCGAGAGATCCCAGCCTTCCTAACCCACTAGAAGTGGTTTTCGGCATCAGCAGGGCAAATTTAAAACTGTGCTGCAGAATGGTGCGTACCTTCTAGTTTTCGAAAATGTACAGGCTAGATGAAGATGATTATTTCTAAGAAAAAAAGAAAGCAGCAGGCCCATCAAGTATTTTTGTAGTTATTAGTAAGCAGCTTCAGCAAAAAACTAACAAAACAGAGTCAACAAGAGCTGAAGAATAGAGAAAACTGTAGCCTGATAATCCCCTTCCATTCATGGATCAAAAAGACTTTAAGAATAAATCCAAGAAAACTGTGCTGAAAATAGTATTGTTAACATACAATCCAATAAAGTCACCCCTTTGGTTACATATTTTGAAGGACAGAATGCCAAATACTGAGGCAGTAGTTCTTTAGTGATACCCTAGAGACCTATGTAGGTCTCCAGTGACCTAATATATTAAAAAAGTAGCCTCAATAAATGGGAATTTTACTCAATCTATTACTTACTATGATAATACTTATCTGTTCCTCACTGCCAAATTAGGATCATCATCAACAACGTGACACAGTGAATTCAAAAGCAAGTCTGGCTTTGCGATCAATTATTATTATTAACCGTATGAACACAAGAAGTGATTTATCAAGACAGGTTAAAAAAAATGCCAGATATAATCACAGGAGACTGCATCCAACTACAGACAGAGGAAGGGGAAAAAAAAATCTTGTAACAGAAGAGACAGCAGACAGAAATTAGGACCGTACAAATAAAAGCTGACATTAATAATTACTATAAAATAATTGTACACTACAAAATTAGAATTTATTACAATCTCAGTGGGAGTGTAACAAGTTTACAAAAATATTAAGGATTTTAAATTAACATATTAAAATTTTGTCTTTATGAGAAATTTCTATTAAATTCATGGCAGAAAACTTCTCTCAGTACAGCAAGGGTACTGTATTAGTAAACAATAAGCTGTGCTGTAAACAGGCATGATGATACCTCAGCGCAATAGCTAACAAACGTCTCTGGAAGACAAAAATCACAGGGCATTACAGAATACCTGGAAATATTTCCACAGTTCTATCCGCTCTATCCTATTAGTTTTCTTTTTTGCATCTATTTAGAGTGTGCTCCCCCCGGCCCATTTACCTCCGTGACCTCCAAAATCTTTTGTTTTCTGATTTCCCAACAGAAAGCTTTGAGCATCCCGGTCACTCAGCTGGCAGACATCGCACTGACCATTCTGAGAGCTGACAGGCTGGTTCTATGTTATTTGGAAACCTATCAGCACAGTCGCTGTGCAGCAATGTAAATGGGAAGTCTAAAGAATGACTGACATAAAAAAAAAAAAAAAAAAAGCATAGAACATATTCACTGACCAATTTGTCTTTGAAGAAGGGGACAATGAAATAAGCACATAGATGCCCAGAAGCTACATGCTGAGACTTTTTGGAACACCAAAAACGATGCTTGCATTCTGATAATTTACAGTCTCAGATGGCTACCGGTTTGACAGTAGGAGAAAAATCTGCATGAGGTGCAGCTGACAAACAGGTGCCCAAAGAAGTTAAGTATATCCTTTTACACTGGAACACAATTCCTGGCAATACACAGAAACTTCAGTTCTCCCTTCCTACACATCACATAAACTCTCTTTAACAAATCATCTTACCCACATAATTAATATTTAAAACTGGTGCCCAAGGAAGAATCACATTCCTCATATTTTTAAGAGCACATGAGTTCTTGAAGAGGTGCCAATAAAACCACTTTCCTGTACTGGCATATCCCTACTGGTGACTTTCTCAGACCAACACTGCCCTTTGGTTCCCAGGTTCATTAATCAGGTTCACTCACACAGCTGCACATCGCCATAAAAGAGCAGAATATTCTACTCGGAAGCAAACAATTATCAGCAATGCGTGTCCCCACACAAGTGAAACCACATTTGAGCTGTCTTTTGACAAGATCAACTCTCAGGCTGTTAAGTATCCCCATCATTGTTGGTGTAAAATTTGGTCAACAGAAAAATGTCATGAGTAGACAGGGAAAAGAGAGGCATACCCTATTGACAA